TATGGAAAACAGATTTGGGATACATTTTTGATAGAGATTCTTATGGTATACATCTCTTGGCGGATCGCCATGCGACTCCGCATCCTTCCCTTATAAGAACTCTGGCATAGATCCCTCAAGAAGCACAACTTCCTCGAAGGAGTTCACCAACCAGATGGGCTGACGCGTTAGTTGTACGGATGGACTGAACTCTCAGCTGAAAACGAGTAATAGATCTGGACTTCACGAGCGTTGCCGCCCCAGTTCAATACCATCATCTTGGATGACGCCGAGAGACAGGAACGGATGGAAACAATGCTGGGGCCTGCACGACGAGTGGAGACCGGCCATCTAATTATCTAAGTAAGTAATAAAGAATATAATGAACAGTGCAAAAATTCATCACTTCTGATTCACTCTATACGTAAGATGATACATCTGAGGGCAGCTTTGTGCAAACTGTTGGTAAACACAATTATAAGAATGATGGTTAATTCGATTATCAACGATTACACTAGAGTCTCTATAATCATGTACTAGGATACCGGAAAAGGACTGAAAAGGTCGCTCACCTTGACAAATTGCATCACAATGATTGTAGGCGGAATGATTGGCTCCGGTATATATGTCGCTCCCACAGGTGTTCAGCGAGGTCGGTTTTTTTACTGAAAAATTTAAAAGTCGCTGTTTTTTATATAATGTTTAATTAATTAGCTGCCGGCTCTGTTGGTTCCTCTATTATAATGTGGGTCGTAGGCGGAGTATGGTGTGGAATCGGCTCTTATATCTACGCTGAACTTGGAACTCTTATTGTAAAGTCCGGTGGTGACTATACATACATAATGGAAGCTTTTGGACCATTTTTAGCTTTCCTAAGATTTTGGATAGAAAGCATGGTGGTCAGGTGAAGTATATCGCCATTCTAATTGCAGTTAGTTTATTCAAGAGGCGTAAAAAGTATCGTACGCTAAAATGGAAATCAATGAGAAGAAGACAAGCCTACAATAAGTTCGATGAAGCCGTTATGTAGAAGCTATGCTGCGATTGTTGCATGACAAAAGTAGTCAATTTCTTTCGTAGCCCCTTAGCCTAATTTAAACGGTAGAAACCGTAAAACTTAGCAAGAAAAGAATGGAGACTAGAACTTGGATGTAAAATGAGGAGTTAGAAGCATGAATAGTTGTTGACGGGCTTAAGTAGCAATTCGAACGAATGGATCCGAACATCTGAAGGTGCTAAGTAAATTCCTGAAAGCTTGTTCAGACCTTGTGGAAGGGCTATCGTTGGTTTGACGTTTGCCGTGTACACGCTGCAACCCCTTTATCCGGACTGTGATCCCCCACCATGGACAACTGAACTTCTCGCAAGCATTTTAATAGGTATATTTTGAATTTGTCTGTTAATTACATGT